GCATTCAAACCGGAGCGTTTCCCCTTCCTAGTACATGATAAACATTTACTAATTAATCCTCACAAAGCCTCGGTGAGGCAGATCTCTTCACACCACTGCTTCTGTTTTATAAATGGGAACAAGAAGATACAAGATACATCCTTTGAAGCTGGGGTTGTGTATGTCTTCAAAACATGCTTTGGGTCTCTGGGAGCCCACTCGGCATCCGTGTTTGAATGCTGAGAGGTTTGTAAAATGCCTCGGAGCCAGGATCAGAAGTCAAGGTTTCTTTGTGCCCCTTCACCGTGCTCAGACCATCACAGCATGTTTCGACGTGATTCTTCAGCACAGTCTCCAGAATACTGATATTTTCCCTGCGTGATCATACCACATTGCAGGAACAGTATTTAGATGAAAAGTCAATGGTCTTCAGTCTCAAGTAAGAGCAGCAGAAATTGGTCCATAACGTATCTGCTAATTATGTCAAGATTCAAAGGAACAAAACTGATGACCAGCTGGAAGCTGTTATTCGCAGAAGATCAGAAACAATTGTATGGGATGTGGGTTGTCAGGTAAATGTGGATGTAATTTATACCAGGATGGTGGACTATCCCTGACCATAGACAAATTAGAATTTAATGTCATTTTGAGATTCTCTCCTGTCTTCTTGTCACCATGTAAGGCATAGCATGAATAAAGACAGGATATAATGAAAGGGAGCTTCATCCCATCACTGAGCTGAAGCAAAAGCAGGGATCTTTCCCATCGATTTCAGCTTAATATTTATCTGCTAACACAGGATACTAATTTGAGTTTGCAGTTGATTCTAAAACCTGTGCAAGGATCCCACACAACACAGACAGAGAATCTGCAATACCTGTCACAGAGCAAATAAAAATGTGGATGAACAAAGCCTGGACGTGTTGTGTAGACGTGATGTTATGTGTTAAAATGGTGGACTAAAGTCCAACTTCCCAGTGGTTAATCCATGCTTTAGTGTTTAAAGTGTCGCTGTGGTGGCCTAAGAAATCATCTCCTACTTTCAGGCACTACCAAACTTAGCTGAGGTCTGGCTTGGGCAAGGAAGAATTTTTTCCAGCTCGTTTTTGGCTAAACAACCTTTGACACAACAAAAGTAATAAGTTCCCAAAAAGAACAATTCTGCATTGGTGATGGACTGTCCAGAGAAAGCAATACAACCTTCATATTCTCAGTAAAAAAAGTGACTCAAGAGTTTATTACAATTTTCAGCGCATCGGAGATGTCACTAATAATACTTTAAAACGTGTAACAAAGAAAGAAAATGCTCTTTAGTAGCTGTAGAGAGATTGGTCCATGGTTAGCACAGATCAGAGACTCTTTCAGGGGAGTTAGAAGATTGCTCCCATCCTGCCCATCTTCTCCTTGAATTAATCAACATTAAAACTATGCTTTTACCAGACAAGACATGCTGGATAAAATTCTGATTTGCTTGAAATCACTGAGAATTTGTTCCTTGCTTTCAACGAGGGCAGGATTTTACCAAATATTTCTAACAGACTTTTGTAAAATAGTGTTGAAAAAGATCTCAAGGGCCATCCTATCTCTCCTCTTGCTGCAAGGCAGGATCAGTTACATCTATGTCAGTCCTGATGGATGTTTGTCTAACTGGTCCTGAAAGAGCTGCAACACTTGATAGCACCTTGAGCTCTGCTTCCATTTTCACCTGCCCCAAGATATGAAAAGAAACGGGACTTTTTAACCAACCCTACCAGGATTTTTGACTGGTTTAAAGGACCTTTGACAATTTTAACATCTGATATTCCATGATCTGCTAAGGATAGGAACTAATCCTATCCACCCGCAGAGAGCTTACCCATGATTTATTGACATTTTTCCCTTTTATCTCTTCTTCTGGAAATATCTGACATGAAACCGTGCAATTCCCATCTTGTCTTTTCCTCCACCATTTCAGTTCTGGTCTGATTTCAGTGGCTGCCCTGTAAGAACTGATAGTTAAAACTAATGCTTTGCTTTACCTGAAGGCCTGTCAGTCTTTCAGCAGTGCAGCATAAAGTGCATAATTTTAATTCTAGGAGTGAAATGCCAACTACTATAATTGTGTTGGCAACATGGAAAGGCAGAGAGGCAACAGAGGAATAATGACCAGGCAGGACTGGAGCCTTAGCAGGGAGGAAGAGAAGGAGGGGTGGGCAAAAGAAGAAATATTGAAGTCTGGTCCTTGCAGAAGAGCACCTCCACAGAATGAAATGTCACTGGCCATTAACTGCCCTTTGCCTGCAACCCAGTGCTTGCAGAAACAAAGTGGGGTCTTTGCTTTGGTTTCAAGAAGACCTGAATGGCACTCAGAAATCGTAAAACACAGCTCCTTATTGACAGGCAATTTGAAAGACGCTCCTTGCCTCCCCTGCAACTACAGCAAACCTGCCCCACAGCTGCTCGAAATATCTTTATGGTTTAGAATGGGAAACACAGACAGGAAAATTAACAATTACAGCTGGTACTTCTGAAAGTAAAGGTCTGAGGCAGATGCTCACACATAGCAGTCAGAGAACGAGAGGTGGATTGCCCATGCATTATCTCTCATTCCAGTGTACACCATGCATTAAGCTTTCACAATAAATAAATTTTGAGAAACTTGCTACACGGAATCCAACAGCAAACAGCAGAATTTGTTATTGACAATAACAATTACAGCTGGTACTTCTGAAAGTAAAGGTCTGAGGCAGATGCTCACACATAGCAGTCAGAGAACGAGAGGTGGATTGCCCATGCATTATCTCTCATTCCAGTGTACACCATGCATTAAGCTTTCACAATAAATAAATTTTGAGAAACTTGCTACACGGAATCCAACAGCAAACAGCAGAATTTGTTATTGACAAAGCACATGAGAAAAGGCTTTGTACTTGGAGTCTACTTTTAACCCTTACTGAGGGTTTTATTCCCCAAACACAAACACTTCACAATCTCTACCGGTGAAAGACAAGACAAACAGCCTCTTCACAACCAAGCCAAAAAATACCTAGTTTCGACATAATCACAAAACCTCCTGACATGAAGGGGTCCCAGCTTTGCACATGGGACAAAGCTGATTAATGCTGTGGGAGACTAGCAGGGGGCCAAACCGGAGTTTCAAATGCAACTCTTTGCCAGCAGACTCCTCTGCAGCCTGACTCCCACCGAGCAGTCCCAAGAACGTCACCAGGAAGGCGGGAGGAAAGCGGTGGGCACTGGAGGAGGAAGAATCCTGTCCTGCTGGCCAGAGAAACCCTGACAAGCTCTTTGCAGGAAAAACAGTAACTGACTTAAAGGTTGGCTTGGAGACCCTGTGTAGGAACCGGGACTGTTGCTGGGACATACGACCCATGGGGATGCGTCTTCAGTATCACTTCGGCATCTGTGGCTTTGAACTTCCTCCAGAGTTGGGTAGGATTCATAGAGAGTTGAAATTATCTTCCCGGGACAGCAGGAAAGATTTTTCTGCTCAGTGCTGTCTAAAGAACAGGTTCCTGAAGGCATTGTTGTAGTTTTTGTTGAAAGCAGTGTAGATGAGTGGATTAAAAAAGGAATTTGAATAGCCTAGCCATAGAAAAACACTCTTCCAAAGGGGTGGGATGTCGCACGAGCAGAGGGGGTTGATGAGCTCCGTGATGAAGAAGGGGATCCAGCAGAGCACGAAGACCCCGATAAGGATGCCCACCATGAGGGCAGCTTTCTTTTCCTTCTGCTCTCGCCACGTGTCTCCGTCCGTCTGGAACGTAACAGTGGCATGACGGACAGTGAAGACCATCTGGGGCTGCTGGGCAGATTCTTTTACCTGCCAAACACAAACGCAAGTTGCACCATATGTCCCTCAGCCAGCTGATCCCACACAGCAGGTACACAGCCAAACTATGCAAGTGATGGCCAGAGCTCACGGGGAAAAACACGGGCCACCTACGTCACACTAACGAGGGCAGATTGGTTGTATGACCCTCTTTCGGCTGGCAGAGACTATTTTTAGGTGAGGCTAGCAACTAAAGAGCGTAGTGATATATGGGCACATGGAATCGCTCACACAGCATCGCAACAAGACGATTCCCCCATCTACAATCGGATCAGTAGAACAGGCACACGCCCACATGCTGTGCGCAGAAGTCCCCTTGCTTTCTCTCAGCCCATTGAGTTTGAGCGTCCTTAGTAGGAGAAGCAAGAAAATGAGCACACATTTCCTTCCTCCTCCCAAGAAGTCTTCACAGCGCACAGTCACCGTGCCCGCGATGAACTGACACGATGCAGCCACGATTAGGAAGGAGTTACAAGGGGGTTCTGCACGTGTGTCTTCTGTGTGGGTAAACTCACGGCCTCCCCAAAGCCACAGCTGCTTGGCAGGCTATCGTCCAAGGCGGAGACAGGATCCCATCCACTCACACCCCCACACCCTCCCCACGGGAGGAACGGTGACCCCTTACCCACGCTCGCGAGCACTGATTCAGCATTCCACGGGGGGACGACTGTGAGTCACCGCACGCCCACGTGGAGCTCAGGCTCGCAATCTGGCCCGAAGCTGCTTTAGCTACACCTTGCATGCTCACAGCTGGGGACTCGGACAGAGCCAAAATACTGGGCTCGGAAGCTTTGCAGCCAACTTTCCCTTGAAAGGATTCACAGGGCTTTGGTGAGATGCTCCTTGCTTACGTGCTTTAGCTCTAAGTTTCCCCCACTGCTGCAAGGGCTTGGTTGCTACCATCAGTTGGCTAGAGCAAAATACAACTGAGTTGACCTACCTCCAGGGCTTCTGGTGTAATGGGGGTGATGGAGTTGCTCTTCCTCCGAGATCCAATTCGAAACTTGGCAGCCTTGTAGATCTTCCAGTACACAAAGAGCACCACGCAGAGGGGCAGGTAGAAGGCGCCAAAGGTGGAGAAGATGGTGTAGGATGGCTCCCGGCTGACTTGGCACTCCTCGCTGTCCTCTGAGTAAGTCTCCCCCCAGCCAAAGAGCAGCGGGGCCAAGGAGATGAAGGCGGAGAGCGCCCAGGTGAGGGCAATCATGATGTTGGAGATGCGGCGCCGGGTGCGGAGTGTGTACTCCAGGTGACGGGTGATGGACCAGTAGCGGTCGAGGGCGATGGCTGTGACGTTCCAGATGCTGGCGGTGCAGCACAGCACGTCAAAGGAGATCCACACCTGGCAGAGCACGCGGCCCAGCCCCCCCCGCCGCCCGGACAACTCGTGCACCAAGCTGAGGGGCATGACGAGGGCTGCCACCATCACGTCGGAGATGGCCATGGAGGCCACCAGGTTGTGGGGCACCCGGTGGAAAGTGCGCACCCGAAAGATGGTGGCCAGGACCAACCCGTTCCAGAGGAACGTGGCCACCACCAGCATGGCCAACAGGGTGAGGACCAGCACGCTGAAGACGGAGAGGTGCGCTCGGCCGCCGTCCGGACCGGTGGAAGACCCGCTCCGGTTCCCGGCCTCCAGC